GCTTGGGGTTGAGCATTTTCAGCAGCATCGGCGTCAACATGACCCTCTTCATCATGTTGTTCTTCTGTCTCGTTGACCACTTGGACTTCCTCCTGGTGGTGCTTCTCAGGGGCACCCTCTGTCTCAGCAAGAAATTCATCATCCACCAGTTCCTCTTCGCGTTGTCTGCTATGGTCAGCAGAGTCCTGCGGCTCTGAAGTTTGATTCACTTCGTTAGCAGAACTGACGAAAGAAGAAGGATTGTAGGTAGGTTCCCCTGCGCTGTTTACGAAGGTACCAGAACCTTTGACAGGATGCCCAGCTGGCGCTGAAGTTCCAGTCGTTTCCTAAAAATAGAAAGGGAAAAATATTCTGATTAGAGAGATGCACAATCGAAGGTGATCATCGAAACTTAAGTTAAAAGTGGTCGGAGGCATTACATGTAAAGGAACCTCAATCCCAGGGCTAGAGTTGTCGCTCTCAACAGGATTACTGAGCAAGACATTTAGCTCCTCCTCCGTGGGTTCTTTGATGATCACAGGGGGTGCCCTGTGACTTTAGTTCTTATCACAGGTCAAGGTTCAGGAGCAGGGGCAGCCTTTTTCAGCCTTCTCCGTTTGAGAGGAATAGGAGGAGATTCCTCCTCTTCGCCACTCGAAGTTTCGACCGTTAATATGGGTCGCTTCTTTGGCGCAGGTTCCTGAAAATCCCAAACAAAGTCGATTTAAAACACAGCATCGGAAACTGGGATGTTTAAAACCAAAGAGGGAAACAAGGAAAAAATTGTTACCTGTACTGGAGGTTTTGCAGAGGGACCTCCACCCTGATTGCTGTCTGTGGCCTTCTTAGCCACAGGTTTTCGAACAACTGAAAGAAAAACGTTCACAAGTTATATTTGACAGATATAATTCGAAATGGAAAGACAAATATAATTTGAAGAGGGAACATACATTTCTTTATTTTATCAAGGACCATGACGAAGGACTTCTTGAGTTCGTCTACAAAGTCCTTCTCGTCGAGGAACTCTTCGATGTAATATCTCTTCCACCAGTCTTCAAAAGCTGGTGAATAGAGGAAGTTGAGTTGGTAGTCGAACAATGATAGTACGGTCCGACCAACGTACCTACTAATATGCCTAGTAGCGGCGTCTTCAGAGTAGTCATTAGAAAAGAACAACAATGATTTCTCTAGAGGATAAATTGGAGAAGGAAGCGATCGGATAATGCCAAATTGTCGAGAGACAAGATTCGCCTGGTAGGCAATCAGGCTCAACTGATTTTTTGAACTCTTGAAACGCAACAACATTATCCTTGGAGTGAGAAACGCTTCCCACATTGTTGTATGCTCTTCGAAGTGAGGATCCTCTGGTGATTTAGGATGGGGCCTGGTAAACCATCCTGGACCACACTTTCGACCGGCGAAAGGGGCCATGGTCGAAGTAAATTCCTTCCTCCCCGCAAACATCTGAACAAAGTTTGTGAATGTCTTTTGTAGTTCCAGCCCATCCTCAGTAGGAGTCAATAAGGCAAGCCTGGTGCCTTCGACGCGCCTTTTAGCTATCTTAGGAGCCTGTTCATTTATTTGAGTCTTCTGGGGCAGAAAAGACTCGAAAGTGGCATTCAACCAGAGTTGAAGTAGCCAGAAGGGACCAGCAAGCAGCAAGCTGGCTCTATTTTCAATTACTTTTAATTGAGTCGCTCCATTGCTTATCGACTCATACAAGTTCGCCAATATTAATTCAGCCAAACAGATATTTTGGCCGTGATGAAGTTGAGTAGCGAGGGTGACCATCTTCTTCGTCACCTGCAGGGATTTCATGCAGAACACGAAGCGCGACAGCCAAAGGGCTAGAAACGCGATGTGCTCCACATCAGTCACCACAGCCGTCGATTTGTCGTGGTAATGATTGGTGTAAGTGGTGTATGTGGGTTTGGTAGCAGAAAACCCAATCTGGTCTTCAGAAATTTCCTCTGGGTCGAAGTAGTCCCCAGTTGGTCGAAGACCAGCAATGGCGGCCACATCGAAGAGGGTGGGCGTAACCATTCCACAAGGCAAGTGGAAGGTATAGTGAGTGTAGTCCCAAAACAGCAATGAAGCTACCAGCATGTTAGGACAGTAGTTAAGACCAGTTTTGGACAACATGACCAGGTCATAAATGCCCATGCCTTTCCAAATCGAAGCCTGACACTTCTCCATCTTGTGGAGCCAAGCGGTATATTCTAGTGTAAGACTAGGGCTAGATCGAAAAGCCCTAACCCCCCTGTTAAAAAACCGAAGATCTATTTTCTCTTTCGCAGGATCTTCAGTATCATCTTTCGCCTTCTTTGAGCACCCAATGGGTTTGAGTGCCTCATGCACGGGGAAGAAACCCTCAATTTTTGTGGGGTCAGTAATGCATGTTGAAAGAGGGACTGACATGGCAAAAACCTGGTTGGAATATCCAACGGGAATCAGCAGTTGAGAGCCATAGGTTTCGCGCTCAGCATCACCCATGGGTTCAGGAACCCTTCGCATTCCCATAGAATTAACTACCGGAGCGGTTGAGAAGGTTTCTGGTTGAGCAGTCTTGGAGAGAATGCTAACTCTTGGGGCATTGGGAGCACGAGTACGTGAAGCCATTTTTGGTTTGAGATGAGGGTGGATGAAGAATAAAGATTACTGGGTTTGGAGAGGAAGAAGCAAAGGGTTATTTGCAGAAAATTTCGTTCGATCGAAGGTTTGGATGCAAGAAAGCGTAAAGAGTCCAACTGAGGCACTTAGTGCTATTTATAGTGATTGAAAAAAAATCACAGGGCTCGAGGTCATTTAATGCCACAGACGGGAGTGGGGCACGTGGCACGTATTTGGCGCTGTAACCGTTTTGAAAAACGGAAACGTTGCAGCATGCTTCCTCGATTTCAGAGAATGGTCATGATGACAGCGTGTGAAAGGCCATCGTGCGTGCGAAGTGCCTTACTGAAGTGACGTCTTGGGAAAAGTTGAAATGATGATTTGTTGAGATTGTCAGATGGTTGGTAGGAGACGAAAAGCACACAAACTAATTTGTGTCTGAGAGTGAAGGACAAGTGTCGAATGGAATATCAAAGAATGCCTCTTTCTTCTAAGCATCGAAATAAGACATTCTTGGGGGGCAATTTGTTGGCTCCTAAATTCGACACCCACGTTCTATTATCATATAGATCATTAATTATGAGTCAGAAGAGTTCCCTACACAAGAAGGCTTCGATCAGCTGATCACATCGAAGGCTCATCAAAGAATGACAACATACTTAGAGAAATTCCTCTAAGTTGGAATCATGTTGTCTTCGATGTCGAAGGAGCAACCTTTCGAGCAAGGTCCCTGATGCCCAAGATCGAACGATTTGAATTTTGAATTTTTGGAGGGAAAACGGTTCCCAGCAGTTACCAAGCGCAACGTGTCGTGAACGTAGGCGTCGAAGGTTGTGAGCGTGCCATGTGGTGTTATCACGAAGCGGTGTGACTGCCCAACAGTTACTTAGGATTTTTTTAGTATAAATACTAAGTGTTCACGAAGTTATTAGGTGTGTTCATCATTGTATACAAGTCACTCATTTAGATTCAAGTACCCAGCGTGAGAGAAAGAATCACTGAGAATGTATGTGTGAAACACCATTTACCTTAATCAAAAACTTTTACATTCAAGCAATTTATCGCTTTCACTTATTTACCTCAGTCGAAGTCATTTATTTAACAACCCTTTAATGCTTTTATTTACTTTATCAAGCTTTTCTCCATGCAATTTATTTAAAGTGTCTCTACTTTACTTGCATTAATCACCATTAGGATTAGTCGAAACTCTTTATTTCAAAGCATTTAAACTCCAAAAATCAACCATGTCTTAGGATCAATCTGATTGATCCTGCGAGTCACCAAATAAGTAACCTTTTGGAAGATCAACGGTTGTTTACTATTTTTCACGACAAACAGCAGGCTAACTCTAAGTCATTACTCCTACTCCTAGAAGCAAAGACTTGGGGGAATACTATTATAGACTGGACCAATGACTGTCCCAATCCACTCGTGCCTAGAACGGACCAAAAGTGGTGACCCCATCCATCAGGGGCCAACAGAAAACACGTCTCCCGCGTGCCCCTCTCCTGGGGACACGTGGCCGATAAATGTCGTGCATCTTGCACAGCTGGCAACAGACACCTCTGTCCGCGATAACGACTAGTTCCAGATAGCTTCTCTGGATAGAGAGCACGAGCTGCTCGTCCATGCTTTCACACGGGAATCCTGACAGTTACCTATTTTTGGCCCAAAAATAGGAACCAACAACCAAGTCATGCAGGCACTATAAATACCCTCACACTTGTGAGAGCCAGGTATTCAACTATTAACCCTTTTTTCTCTCACGTATCTCTGCACTCTTATTTACTTGAGCATCAGAGTGCCTTGCAAGTACACCCCTTCCTCTGTGTCTTCAACACTATAGACAAAGTTATTGACTTATTACAGATTCTAATCACCGATAAGATAAATAAAAAAAACAATATGACAATATCTTGAATTTCTCAAAGAAATGATATATCTTTATATGAATCAAAGAGAGAATATTTATACTAGAGAATTACAATAATTACATGAATGTCATAATTAACATTACTATTCTAAACGACATTATAAATAAAATATTACTATTATAAGTTGATACTTTAATAGGTAATTCACATTATTATTTTAATTACTATTTTAAGTTAACATTTCAGATAAATATTTCAAATAATAATAGTAGTAGTTTTTTTAATTTATTATAACAATAAACTTAATTTTCTTATGTATTTTTTATTTAATAAAATTAATTTGCTTTGTGTAAGTTGTATTCTTGGATTTGTCACACAATTTTATTACCCTTGTTGTCACTTTCCTTCTAATAATTAATTAAAATTTGGTTGCTTCCCACTCCACTTGACCACAAACCAAACCAAAATTGCCTCTTTGGAGTGTAATGTCACCTAACAATTAGTCGCCAATCGCCATTACCCCACTCGACGGACCTCATGGCGGGAACCGCCCATTTACTCATCCTCACGCCGCCCTCCGCCGCCACTCCCTCATTCCCTCGTCCAAGCCCTCCATCTCTCGCTTCCCGCCGTCATCTTCACTCAGCCGTTAAACCCCTCACTCTACGCCCTGGTGTTTGTATCCCATCTCCTTTCCGAGCATGTGCTCAATCCCATCAGGTTCCGTTTCCCCTTCATCCTCATTTGCAGCCATTTCGAGATTTTTAAATTAAAATTCATTTCATTTTTGGAAATTCAGATGGATGGTAGTGATAGTCGAAGCAAAGAGACTACAACACTGAGTTGGGTGGAACCTATTTTGAGATTTGCTAGGGGCAATGTTTTACCCTTAGGTGCCTCTATGTCTTTCTATGCTTTCAAATTTTGTATTTCATTTTTTTCAGTCTTCTCAGGGATAACTTTGCAGTGTTGCTTGTTTGCTTTTGAGGCCATTTGTAGCTCTCATTTCTGCGGTCACGTTAGGATTAACATATCCTAGTCTTGGTTGCGCTCTTGACAAGTATCATGTGTCCAAAATTGGGCCGTTTGGAATTTTTGTTATCTCAGGTTATTGTTTTTACTTGTAGCTAATCTTTTGCAGCTGTATGCTGTTTTCATTTTATGACAAACAAGTCTCTAAGTGTGGTTTATCCTGTAGGGTTGATGTTGCGAAGTGAAGAAATTGGTGCTGCTGTAGAAGCATGGCCTGTTGGACTCTTTGGGCTAGTATGTATGCACTTTTATGTTTTACGGGTGCATATTATAGACTCGTCTGCTGCAGCCTTTTTTGGAAATGCTTACCTAGATTTGATTGACATGTCTGTGTTTGGAATCTCTGTTTAACTGGAGTGGTACACCACATTGCTTCAAATCTATGATCAAATTATATATGTTTGTTTGACACATAAAAATCACTTGTTTAGTTTTTCTCCCTTAAAGTAACCAAAATACAACTAATAGGATAAATATTTTCACCCCGTCGAACATTATCAGTAATCACGTGCAAGGAAATAAAGGAATTTCTTATAATGGTGGCTTTGGATCTTTACTTTTATGGTCAAGAATGAAACTCTTGACTTGTAAGGTTAGATTGCTGTATGCCTGTATGTATCTTTTTGTAATGCAATAGCAATAGCAAACTACTAAGCTTTATCGTGTTAGGTAGGTTCTGCCGGGTTGCTCAAATGACACATGTTAGTTTCCTAAAACACAGATTAGATTATGTGGAAATAGAAATATAGGGGGGGTGATTTGTTTATTATATGGAAAGTTAAAGAGAAAAGCAATCAGTAGAGACGTTTCCAAAAATATGGCTCATTATAGAGAGACACTTTCCCTAAACAACAGATACAATACACGCTCTCACTCCAAAACTACAAGAATATCCATCCAGTACATGATACATTGCTGCCCACAATATTATACTAACTCTCGCTCCTCATGCTCCATGGACCTCACCATCGTAGCCAACTCCCCAATTTAGTATGACTTCAAGACTCATATTACCAACTTTTGGTCTTCTCTTAAAAACCTTCCATCTCTTGGTTTCACATGACTATTGATCAATGGTTTCAAGATTTGAATACCTATCTACTGTCATACTCAGAAGTGGGCATACCATTGGGAAGTTTGATGTAAACTTCTTCCTTAAGACCACCGTGTAGGAATGCATTTTTCACATCCATTTGATGTAGTGGCCAAGATTGTGATGCAGCAAGAGCAAGAATGGTGCGGACAGTAGTCATCTTGGCGACCGGGGCAAAAGTCTCGTCGTAGTCTAGTCCATACTCTTGCTTATTTCCAAGCACTACTAGCCGAGCCTTGTAACGGTCTATTGATCCATCTGAATGCAACTTTATAGAAAACACAAATTTGCTGCCTAAAGGTTTAACAGTTGGAGGACAAGGTACAGTGTCCCATGTTTGATTTTCGAAGCCCAGAAGTTCATTTTCAATAGCTGTCTGCCAACAACCATGCTCCATTGCCTGTTTATAAGAAGCGGGAATATGAATACAAGACAATGTTGCTGTCAAGGATAAGGGATTAGAGAAACCATACTTTTCTGACGGCTAACGGATTGTGCGTACTGTGTCGTATAGGGCCTGGTTCTGGTTCCTGTGTTGGATCAGCGGTCAAGGAACTCTCTCGAAGCGGCCCGTGGGAGTCAGCTGGCTGATTTTGGGTGACAACACGACGTCTTTGGTAGGTCAATAGGGGCTTAGAGGATGGCTGACCTGCAGTAGAGTTAGAAAACAGTGGCAAAACAGAAAATGAAGAAGGAAGATCATGATGGGTTGCAAAAAAATATTTATTTTCAAAGAAAATGGCATTTCTAGAAACCCGAATTCGACGAAGATTAGGATCATAGCATATAAATCCTTTTTGATGAGATGAATATCCAAGAAAAGCACATTCAATTGATTGTGCCATAAGTTTAGTGCGTTCTTGTGGAGGAGATGGACATAACACACACACCCGAAAACAGGAAGAGTGGAGTAATCTGGTGGGTTACCAAATACTCGGCTGAATGGAGATTCATTATTTATTGATAGGGATGGAAAGTTGTTTATAAGATGAACAGCTGTAGATAGGGCTTCACACCAGAATCGTGGTGGCACATGAGACTCCATTAAAAGTGTGCGGACAACATCAAGCAAATGACGATTTTTTCTTTCAGCTACCCCATTTTATTGGGGAGTTAAGGGACATGATCTTTGAGACACAATCCCATTAGATTGCAAGAATTCTTGAAAAGAGTTTGATGTATATTCGCCCCCATTTTCAAAGCGAAGTATTTTGATTTTGGATGAAAATTGGGTCTGAACATAAGCATTAAAAAAATTTAAAAGTGGAAAAAACTTCATCTTTTGAGCGTAGAAAATAGACCCATGTAAAACGACTATAATCATTAATAAAAGTTACAAAATATTTGTAATTTGCATGAGATGTAATCAGTGCCACTCCCCAAACATCACTATGGATAATATCAAAAGGTTGTGTTACATTCGATTGATGTGTTGGAAAAGGAAGAATTTTACTTTTGCCAAGCTTACAAGGAATGCAATCAAAATGAATAGAATTAAGAGAGGAGTGTGTTTATTTCCAAGAAAATCAGATTTTAGTATGTCATGGAGTACATTAAAATTTGGATGTCCAAGACGCCTATGCCAAATTTTTAATCAACGGTTGCAACATTGCACAAAATAGATGGTAAAGAAAGACTTGGAAACAAAGATAAATTGAGTGGAAAGAGACGTCCAACTTTAGGCCCCTTCGCGATTATCGTCCCTGAGTGTTGATCCTGCACAAGACAACCAGACTTTGAGAATTCTACTTGACAATCATTGTCAACTAATTGACCAACAAAAATAAGATTACTAGTGAGACCAGGAGAAACAAAAACATTGGTTAAAGTTGAAGAAATATCACCAGTTGTTGTGATAGGTAATTGATTTCCATCAGCGGTATGTATCTTGAGATTTCCAGAATATTTGGTGATATTATTAAGAAATTGAACTTCGTTGGTATGTGGTTCAAAGCCCCAAAATCAAAGTACCAAGGGGAGGATGATTTACTTGAGAATCCCATAGCAGAGAACGCTGAAATGATCATTTGCTAAACCATTTCAGGGGTCAAAGTCTGGAAGGCAGTAGGTGCATTTTGTTGGACGGCAGTAGGCGCATTTTGTTGGACAACACTAGGCGAATCAACCGAAGTTGTGAAGGCTGTTGCAATTTCGCTTTGGTGGCCTAGTTGGACATTCTTTAATAATGTGCCCATCCTTTTTGCAGTAATTACATAATTTTTTTGGACAGTTGGAGGTATAATGTCCAGAGCGCTTGCAACAAAAGCATTGAATATTGTTCATATCATGGTTTCTTGACCTCCCTTGTGCTGTATATGCCACTAGGACAGTAGATGGTTTTTGTTCTTCAATGATGGGTTGTGTAAACAAGCGTTGTTCTTCACGTAACAAATCATTGGAACACATCCAATGAGGGTCTCTATGCATCAGATTTGAGCGGCTGAATACACTTATATCAGATATAAAGAGACTTTCCTGTTTGAGATTAGCTATGTCGTGCTCAAGCTGGAGTCTCCGGGCTGCATTGTTCTGACTATAGATTTTCTTCAAGTAAGCCCACATTGTTGCTGCAGTCTTGGTCAAAGGTTCAGAACAATGTTCGGATCAACCGAACCAATTATCCAAGACATGATTTGAGCGTCTTTGACCACCCATTTAGCTTGTTCAACCTTATCTTTGTCTTTGTTAGGGGTAGAAGTTGTTTCATCAACATGACACCACAAATCTTTTCCTTTGACATATAAAGAGAATTGGAATTCCCAAGCTGAATAGTAAGGCGAACCATGAAAATATCTTGTTTTTCTTTTGACATTGAATCGAAAAACATTGGAAACACGAGATGAAATCTTGATTGAAAAAAAAAACACAAGGAAAAAAGCAAGACTGAGAAATTCGGAGCGGAAAGACAAGACTAGATAAAGACTAAATTTTGGATAGTGACATGCTCTGATGCCATGTCAAACTCAGATTCTATGATTGAAAAACTGTGTTCTCTCTTGGGAGAATTCTCATATAAATACAAGATAATTGGGTGATTCAATCTAATAAATCAGCAACTGCCATATATACATTTATGCAGTTTATTATGCTAATTAATACTACTAATTATATTCCAATAAATAAGATAGTGCAGTATAGTATACATTTATGCACAATTATTCTGATTAGTAATTATCATAACTGCAGTCATTAAACCTATTGACATCTACATTCTACACCGTTGTGTTCTATCAAATATGGATCTTCTCAATTTTTTTTCCCTTTTTCTTAAATTTTTTTCTCTTCTATATTTGTACGTTTCAAAAACATTAGCGCAAGTTTTTTTTATAATGTCTGAAAATGTAACATGCTCTTTTGTTCTATATACAGGTATCTATTTTATTTCTTACACCATACTTTTCCAGGATAATATTGCAAGTTCATCTCCAACCCCAAGAATTTATTACAGGTTTAACCATTTATATTCTACTCTAAGCAGTCAATGTTAGCCATTTTCATAGCACTTTTGTCATAATGTTGGATTGCTATTCAAGATACAAGTTTTCTGGCTTTAAACAGGGCTAGCCATATTTTGCTGTATGCCAACTACATTATCAAGTGGTGTTGCACTTACCCAAGTAATGATTATGTTCTCTTCTTTCTTAAGTTACTTTTATTCCCTTTTTTTTTTTATTTTTTTTTTTCTATTCCTATAAGTTTATATATACCTTGTGTCTAGCACTTGCACTGCAGTTGATTTTTATCTGAGTTTTGCTACTTTTATCTTGCAGCTTGCTGGGGGAAATGCTGCACTGGCTCTTGCAATGACTGTCATATCTAATTTGTTAGGAATATTAATCGTGAGTCTTGAATAGTTACTTCTTTATCAGTCATCTCAATTTTAAATTTGTTTTTTTCATTGTTTTGTAAAGTTTTTTCTTGCAGAATAATCAAATGCCGTGTTGAAGTTTTAGGAATTGAGTGGAAAGAAAAAACTTGAGAATCTATTTTGAATTTCGATAGAAAATACTGGATCCTGCATAAAAACTTAAGTGTGGTTGGCTTAGGATCTTAGTAGGGAGTAAGAAGATGAAAGGAATCGTCTCGTTATCTTTGCAACTAAGACAACGCTTCCTCATATAGAAAAACCAAGAGTTGTAACATACCATGAACGCATTTTTAAGGATGTATTCCTAATTAGTTCAGTGTCTTACTTCATTAACTAGTGTTTGTATTCGTGGACTCGAAATGCAACTCTAGGAACATAATAAATATCGTCCAACTCCTCCTTATTACTCTGAAAGTTTTTGAGCTTGGAAGTTTATCTCAAGTAAAAACAACAATTGTTAGCAATTGGGATTCATCTTCATGAAGATACCTGTGACTTAATCATTATATTTGCAAAACTTTAGCTCAATATCTTTTTTTCAACCTTTGATATGATAAGATGAAATCTGACCTCGAGTATGCTTTGAGTGATTATACAAAACAGGTTTCATTTCATAATCATTGCCATTAGGATTATGGAAAACAGGATTCTTTCCAAATGTACTAAACAACACTTTCAAACTTAGCCAGTATAGTAAACAAACATCTAAAACATAACAGTAACAGAGAAGGATAAAGAAATCAAACTCGGTTGGCATATGCCGGTTTCCCTTTTTCACCACAGTCTCATCTAGTTTCCACAAAATTCAGTAGGATTTTGACTATGTCAAACTCTCTTTACAACTTCTTTATCCTTTCCAGGTCTTCCTATCCAGTATTCTGTAAACCACAGCCTCTTCAGGCTCATAGGTTGAATTGCTGAGACGACTTTTTCAGACAAAGACACTTTTTCACAGTCACTAGCACAACTAGCTAGCTTACTATCTCAGTTTATAATAGAATAGTGACAAAAGTTTGGCACATAGCTCCAAAAATGCTTAAAAGTGGGTTATACTAGTAAAAGGAGCTAAGGAAACAACTACAAACTGATAATAAGTGAACTGGACAATTTAGGCAGTGGTTTTTTTGAGTTTGGAGTGTACTATTGTATTGCATTTCTATTTTTCTCCTCTGATTGGTTAAATCAAACATTAGAGCTTTATACAGCTTGGGAAACTGTTAGGAGAAGCCTCTGGTATAGTTGGCAGCTTTGTGGTACAATTTCCAGCTTTTCAAACTAGACTCACCATTATCAGAGTTTGTGAGAGTTATTTATAGACATGCTTAGTAACCTTTCCTTGTGTTAGAGTATAGTTGTTTATATGTGTGCTTATTAGGTTATTATATACTATTGTTGGGAAGAACCTATCTTTCCTGTATTGATATTTATTTTTCGATATAAATATAGACACAAGGAGACTAAAAATAGTGAGACGTTCCTTTTTGTATTCTTCTCATGGTTTTCTTTAACAATTAATTTAAACAAGAGATTATGTCAGCGTTTATATCTTTACATTAATAATGTTTGGTCTTTTTTCTCAATTTTCATCAAGTTCCTATCATTTCAACTGCTTTGGTTGTGATTTATTTATCCTTCTTTTTTACTATCTTTTTAAACATGAAAGTTTTGTCTCCATATTGTTTTCTCTATCTAATCTATTGGTTTTGCTGTCGTATTTTATGACAATAGTTCATCTTCTTCTAGGTTCCATATTCCATCACTAAATTTGTAGCTAGTGGAGTTGGAGTGACTTTACCCACCAAGCAGTTATTTAAAAGTCTTGTTCTTACCATACTAATCCCCCTTATTTTGGGAAAGGTAATCGCGTTTTCTCTTTCACATACCTTCGATACAAAATATACTATTATTTGAATACTTTATCAGCGTTGTGGTTCTGAACTGCAAAAATATGACCCCTTCTGTGTGAACTTACTGCTAGGTTTCTTTATGTTTACGAGGCTGTTTCACTTTCTTAAATTGTGATGCTGATCTTTGCAACTATGGCGTGGTTTGACCAACTACATGATATTCCATAATGAAATTAATTGTGTTTTATTTACTATCGTGAGGCATCTCAAATATTGAACAGCTTAAGCACACAACACCCAAACCTTTTGATGAAACTCACTTATTTAGAAGAATGGTCCTGGTGCCAACAAGGAGCAAACTCTGAAATATTTTTTATATAAACTTTGATATCATGTCATGAGTCAAATATCCTGAAAGATATTACGTGAAAACACATCGATAGTTTTTATCTAACACCTCCATGAATATTGAATATTTTTATGGATTATACATTTTCAAAATTCAATGCTCTCTAAAATGACTTTTAATTCTCTTTAGAAACAGGTATTATTGCAAGTAATAGGTGATGTGATTTGGGCATGGGTGTTAAATTGTATAAGTTACCTAATTAAAGTTGAAGAATTGAGCCAATATATTGGCCATATTATTCAAAATGACTCTTCCAATATCCTATCTTGCCACTTTCTTGTTTCTTGATTCGGATATAGTTTTTCGGTATTTAATCTTTTACCTGTTGACAACATTAATTTTGTAGCATCATTTCATTGTTGTCGTAAATATATGATGTTGTAAACCCTGGTTGTAGTATGCATTTATGTCCTATCGACAGTTTGAATTTTGTCTGAGGTCGGTGCTCAAATTATTGTGTTACACTCAGTTTGTTAAAAGTATTTTAATATTTTTCATTGCTTTGAATGGGCAGGTTCTTCGTGAATCTTTTAAAGGTGTGTCCTATTTTCTATGCTTATTCGAACAGTTTGCTTGTCACTTTTTTTGACAGAAAAAAGTAATTGTCATAATTTTATGAAGAAATGATAAGTAGTGAGAATGGAGTTGTAATGCAGTTTTCTAGAAGTCTTTGTTGCAAAGCAGTATACTATAGTTACGGGCAAGTAGTTGTATGTATTATTATTTGCTTAAATGTCACCTGTAGTTATTTCCTCATATTTGGCTAACTGGTAAAATGTAATCCCTCAATTCGTAAGAACATAACATATAACAACCGATAAAATATATCCATGTAGAATAGATGGTCAATCCCTAAACACATCTTTTAAGGAAACCCCATTTGAAAGCTTATTTACTTTATTATACCATATAAAAGCTAAATGCTCCTAATCTTAAAAATGTGACCATAGAAGCCTCTTTAAAATATGAAAGGGCTTGATAAATTTTGAATTGTAGTTAAGAAGTTTGTTGGTTAATGGGTTAGTTTTAGAATTTGGGTTGAGCATAACCCAACCTTACTAAACCGGCTTTCCTAAGTTTTATAAACACTACACATACCATATCTCTAGAAAATGTGGAACTAAATCCACCCTTTCGTATGCAGCAGAATGAAGATGTTGGAGGCTGCAAGAAGGCAACCCAAAGCCGCAATTAAGGCAGACCGCAATTAGGCGGCTAGGGCAGACCGCAATGAAGACCGAATCTTCACACTGTAACCCGGGATCTTCTTTTAATTCTTGTCCTATACCAGCTGGTTTTTATTATAATGCTGCAAAAGAGAAAATCAGAGCTGATTCACTCACTCACTCACTGACTCTTTCTCCCTTGGCCTTATTCACATGTGCATTCTGTTAAACTTTTCCCCCACCACTTCCTCCGAGCCAATTAGAGAACTCCTCTCATATACATGTTTGATCTCCTTTGGTCCAACTCTCCCGAAACGCATTTTCCTTTTTATTTTATTTCTCTTATATACATGTGTCAAAGGCCACCGTCTCTCATCAGTTGTGCATTGCCATGATTGCCTCTCCTCTTTATGACTGCCAAAGCCATGAAAGATAATCATATAATGTTGATCTAGCGTGTATATATACAGTTATGTAATCATCCTAGTGCATTGACTCCTTTACCACTCCGTATATAGATATACTGTTTATTGCCTTAACATAATCACTTCCCCGTCTAAGAGACAAAATAATAATAAGTGTATATACATAAAGGAATGTTGGGAATGTGGCATGTCTATATGCTACATTGTTGCTTCCTTGAGCTGATTGATTTTGCATTTATGTCAAGGAGTTGGTGAGTCAGGTTTAGTTCTCTTTATTTTAGATTTGATTAGATAGGGTAAGTTTCATAGTTACCATTGTGAATGTGATTGTACGATATCACTTTCCTACTGCATGTGTATGTAAATATACCAGTAAATGAAACTACAAATTAGAATTGTTTGTCCTTGGGGAAAATTTGTCTTTGCTCTTGTTATCAGTAAACCAATTTAATCTATCTTTTTTTTTTGGTTGTTCAGCTGATGGATTTTTGCTGTGATTTTATTTGCTACAGGAAGATATATACTAGTAGTCTAATCTTTTTGTTCTTTATTTAAAAGGGAATGTCTTTCTCTCGTTTAGTGTTGCTTCTCCATTTTTCTATGCAATAACATGATATTTGTAGAAACTATTTGCATTGATCAAATTTGCATTACAGGTGTCGCTGACTTTGTTGACAGAAACCGTAAGCTTTTCTCAGGGATCAGTGCATTTTTCCTTAGTCTGGTAAGACCTATTCCATTGCAGAGTTTCCTTATTTCTTTTCTCCAAGTTGGTGATTTTCCTTGCACCAATGTGGTGAAAAGATTACGTAAGTTTTATTTTATTTTCTTTAATTTGTACAGAATCATGTGTTGGGAAATGGATGAGATGCTTTTGCAGTTTCTTTAAACTAATTATGTCATTGCACCAGTGGGATATTCTATCTGTTGATTTTTGTTTTTTAATGCAAATACTGTATTATCGGCACAAAGTAGAGAAGAAAGTGAGCCATATGTTTAATTGATTCATGAAATCCCTGTACAAAGCGTGCCATCTCAAATTGATACGTAACTAACTCAGTTTCTGGGGAATAATTGTTTCTGTCATGATTTGACCTTTAGAGTTTTACAATACCTTAGTTTATATCCATATATTGTATAAACTATATAGACAAGTATTGAAGTTGTTTGTAGTTTATTTGGAGTCTCACATTGCTTAGATTCCTGAGTTGTTGAATGTATAAATATGTGAGGACAACCTCACCCTTTGAGTTGGCTTTTGGGGATGAGATCCAAACTCATTTAACAACAAGAAGATATCAATGGATTTTTTGTTGTATAAACTACATTCTAGTTCACATGTTTGTGTTTGTTCATTAAATGCTGCCTTTTAATTCAATCCATGAACGTCTTGCATATATGAGCAGTTATCCTACTGGACACATAATTTTTAACTAAAAATTTTAGAGGCTCTTCAGGAATTTACTTCCTTCTCATGAATTATATTATATTTAGCTAAACCTTTAACCCAATAAAATGGATTTAAATGGTCTTTCATTTAGCATGAGTTATAATAATAGGATATCATTATGGTGTTTGATCAATGTAGCCAAGTCTATGAAATGGGACAAGGTTTTGGTGGGTGGTGTTTGAGTCATTATATTTGGTTCGATATTTTATCAATAAGGTATTACTGGAAAATTATGGTCTAATCAAATATTATCGTGCAGGTACCTTGGACACAAGTGAGCAAGTCAAGGTCACTGTTGTTAATCGTGAAGCCCAAAGTTTTTCTTGTAGCCATTGGACTTGGAGCGTATGTCCAACATGCTTGAGTTTGCTTATATTTTGGTTAACATTGGGTGGTAACTGTGATCTGTTCTCATTAGTGTTCAATTTACTAATTGATTGTTTTAGAAAAATGAGTAATTAAAAACAGATAATGCATTTCATTCTAAAACTTTGGTTAATTTAGAGTAGCCGTGGTCCGTAATTGATTACAGGATGCTACTGTTAAGTTTGGTTAATTAGTTAGTCAGGTTAGGAAGTTAAGAAGTTAGTTAGCACAATAAGCTCTATAAATAAGATAATTTATTGTATAATTCACATATTTTCAATTAACAATGTTACTTTCAGACTCTTATGTTCTTTACCTTTCATACGCATATTGATTCGCGGTTTTAAAGGACATCCAGCATACACAGTTATGGTATCTAACATTGACTTTCTTGGACAATTGCAGACTTCTTCATTTGACCTTATTGGTATTCAATAGCGTTGCTGTCCAGAGTCTTTCAATAATCTCTGGTGGTGAAAAATCAACTTTTTTCTGTGAAGAAAATGCCAACGCACTCATACTAGTTGCAAGCCAGGTGAAAACTCAATCAGTTATTTATCACTTTCTCAATATTGATCACCTATGAAATAGTTATACTTCATTTGATCTTATCTCGAAGAAACATGTTTTGATACCTTTCAGAAAACATTACCAGTAATGGTAGCAGTTATAGAGCCACTTTGTGGTGCATTTGGAGAATCCGGGTTACTGGTTCTTCCTTGTATTGCGACACATCTAATCCAGGTTATTGATTTGTTTCTTCAACAGTAATTTCTAGTATTTCATTCTCATGCTAACTCAGAAATTTTATTCATCCAGATTATTGTGGACTCTTTTCTTGTCAACTTCATGCGTCGCAAAAACAATGTCAAGGTGGCTTAGAGAGAGGAAATTTTATTCATTCCGGCAATCCGTCCCAGCATATTGTTTCCAACCTTTATTTTCCTTTTTACTACAGTTCACTTATGAAAGATTTGTATTCATTTCTCTATCTTTATACCAAGGTAGTGGAAGTTCAAACATGTCCCTAGTTGTCCTAAAAATTCCCAACACCTTCACCACCTATGATCCATAGTATACATACAATATACAACATTTAAAAAAAAAAAAAAGTACCGATACATGTATGTCATATATTACTCGAGAATTAAATTGTTCAATTCAAAACAAAATTTTACAATAAAAAAAATCATGTTAAGTTACAATAGCAATAAAAAAAGAAGCTAAAATGTATAATTATAATAATATACATATTGGAGAAAATCATAAAACTTTACTTGAAACAAAAATAAAAAAATGAAATATCGCGAAAATGCGTACGGATATTTCGCCATTTTAAAAGTATCTATCTTTATATTCTTCTACCGCTATTGGCCTTTTGAGAAGCAGTGTATGTGTAATTACAAAAAAAGAAAAAGAAAAGAAAATTATGCTGAAACTAAAAATAATAATAATTATAGAAAAATCTCTTTGTGTATTATTGTGCAAAAGACAATATATATAATGAGTTGAGTCCGTCTATGTTGGTTGTAGAAAGAAAATGTTGAGCAAAATTGCATCAGTTTTGTTGATTGGGATTTTGGCCTTAGCCTATAAGGCTATTAAACCTCCAGCTCCAAGAAGATGTGGTTCACCAGGTGGTCCACCCATAACAGCACCAAGAATAAAGCTGAGAGATGGAAGACATTTGGCTTACAAAGAATATGGTGTTTCGAGAGAATTAGCCAACAAGAAGATTGTATACATACATGGATTTGGATCTTGCAGACATGATACAGTCATTGCAACAAACCTTCCATCTGTAAGTTACATACATATTCAACCTGGTTTGCTTCATTTTTACTTCAGTTTGTTGATTGATTGATTAATATATTAATTTGGTTAGGGGTTGCTTGAGGAGTTAGGAGCATATATTGTGTCATTTGATAGAGCAGGGTATGGAGAAAGTGATGGTGATCCAAAAAGAAGTGTCAAGAGTTTGGCTCTTGATGTTGAGGAACTTGCAGATAATCTGGAATTGGGTTCCAAGTTTTATGTCATGGGATTTTCTATGGGTGGACAAGCAGTTTGGGGTTGTCTCAAATTCATTCCTCACAGGTTGGTAACATAATTAATGCTCCTTCCGTACAGTAATAAACCACCCAACTACCATTTATTAAATCATTTTAATTCTTTAACTTGTTCAAATTGGTGTGTTCAAATTTCACCAAATAAAATATTGCATACAAATGTCTTATTAAAATTCTTATAACAAAATCACAATAGAATATAACCTCTTAAACAAATAAAATATTGCAATGCATACAATTATGATTAAGCAATGTTTGACAAATTAAGATACATCAAATGTTATGTGAGTTTATACTTTGACAAGTCTTCATCTTACAAAATGATAACAGACTTGCTGGGGCAACATTGTTGACTCCAGTGATAAACTACTGGTGGCACGGGCTTCCTTACAACATGTCCGTAAAGGCCTATTATGAGCAACTTCCACAAGATCAATGGGCCGTTCGAGTCGCTCATTATGTTCCATGGCTTACATATTGGTGGTTTACTCAAAACTGGTTTCCTTCTTCAAGTGTAGTACATGCCAATCCTGCTGTTCTTTCCCCCCAAGATTTGTCCATTGTTTCCAACTCTGTTCAAAAAGAACATCAAGTATGGATATAATATACATTTTTATTTTTAGTCTTTGAGCTAGCATTATAGATATATAAATACTCTTGTAATGTTGTAATGCAGTCACAGGTGAGTCAACAAGGTGAGCATGAATCTATATGCCGTGACGCCATGATTGGTTTTGGAACTTGGGATTTTGATCCACTTGATCTTCATAACCCTTTCCCGGATAATACAACCCAGGTTCATCTATGGCAAGGTGCTGATGATCTCATTGTCCCTGTTATGCTGCAACGATATATTGCTCAAAAACTTCCATGGATTCAATACCATGAATTACCAGGTGCTGGACACTTGTTCCCAAATATAGAAGAAGTGAGTGCAACTATCATCAAAACACAGTTGAAGGACACAAAATAGTGCACTGATGAAGTTAAGCTGCCATTGATAATTTTGGTAATGTTAAAAATTTAAAGGCTTGTTATGTTAATAAAAGTGCAAATTGGAAGTGGTATTTTACTATTTTACATTCACCAAAATTTGAAATAAACATGTAATAGAGTTTAGCTTAAGATGTGAACCTATTTAGTCTTTAGCAAAGAAGGACAAAGAAATCAAACTCAGATGCACCTTTATGGTGAAGTTGTGAAAATGACCATTTTGAAAAAAGTCATTGAGAGACGGATCCAGTGTTACATGAAAATGTGTGATTCTCATTTTTTAGATTAATCTAACGGTGAACTTATTATTTTTATTCTATTTATAATAAAAAAATCTTAATTTTCATCTTTAATCTTTAGTCGGGTCACCTCAATCCGGTTTCAGACCCGCAATCATCATCTTGACCCTGACATAGACCTTGTCAAGATGGATGTGTTCATCATCTTCAATTACATCTCATGAACAAAAAAAATCTGAAAATCACCCAATCAAGGAATTAACTCACAAATTATATATCGTTGGAATTGAAATTCCATCGTGATTTCAGATATGTATTGAAAATTGCAAAACTAGCCGTGAATTTGACAAATCGAAGCAAAAGAGTAGCGTGAAATTCGAACACAAACACGCTCAATCCGGCTTGATTATGAGATTTTACGAAAAGTTAATTATACAACCGTGTCCGTGGTGAAATTCCGCTTCTAATGGTGTATTCATTTGCTAGAAATAATTAAAAATCATGATTTTGCCGTTTTCTGTGTTCTTGAGTTCATGAGAGTTCTTAAACAAATTTTTAGAAAATCTTAATTAAACGTGTTTTCTTATGATTAATGATTGATCTAGAAATTAATGGATGTACAAGATAATCATGAAAATTTGGATTTAGACATAGAAGATGGAGATTAAAGATTTTGATTTATGAAGTACACATAGGATACACAATAATGATGTGCACCATATAATCATACGTGACATTGACTAAGTCAACACTGAAAAATTCTAAATCAACATTGCTTTTTGATTGGCCAAATTTATGACTTCACCAAAAAAAATTAATTTGATGACTCCACCAAAAAAAATTAATTTGATGACTCCACCTTAGATTATCTACAATGGCAAAATTATTCAACACCCATTTTTTATATTTTTTATACTCCATATCATCTTCTCTCTTCCACCTAATAATTCAACACCCATTCAATTTTTACTCACTACAATGGTTTTGTTTAATTAAATTCAACACCTTACCCAACCACTTTTATTTCATATTTTTATTTTCTTTTTTATGTTTTTATTTTTTTGATTATATTAATAATAATTATCAATTGAAATTAAATTAAAATTATTTAGAGCTACAAACAATAATTTATTGGAGGCTAAATAGAAAAATTAGAGAGAAAAAATATATATTTTTTCTTTGTCCAAATCAAATGAACCAAGACTCTATTTATAGACAAAAAAATGATGAATTTTGATGAAAATAAAAATAAATAAAAAATTGATTTTCTATAAAATAATTGACTCCATATTGAATGTATAAGTAGCTTTACTGTTATTCCCTTGACTGGCAACTGTAAGTTACAGTATGCCCTAACCTGTAATAGCAGGTTACCCTTGATGCTGTATATAAAGCATCAACGAGTCTTTTTGTATTAATTGAAAAATCAGAAAAACAGAATAACAGAATTCTGTTATAGATGAATACTCTCTTCTTCTCATTCTTCTTTTCTACTGTGATGCTGATTGGGCTTCAGATCCAGATGACAGGCGCAGTACATTTGGTGCTGTCATTTTCTTTGGAACCAATTTGGTTGCCTGGTGGTCAAAGAAGCAGCTTGTTGTTGCTAGGTCCAGCACGGAATCTGAATACAGAAGTTTAGCTCAGGCTACAGCTGACCTTCTTTGGATACAAACACTTTTGCATGAACTGTGTATTAAAACCAAGCCTCCTATTATTCTGTGTGATAATCAGTCAGCTGTGCTATTAGCTCATAATCCTGTTTTGCACTCCAGAACTAAGCATATGGAGATTGATCTTTTCTTTGTGAGGGAAAAGGTTCTGGCCAAACAAATTCAACTGTTGCACATTCCTGACACTGATCAGCTTGCTGATGTGTTGACCAAACCCTTGCCTTCCACCAGATTCTTGGAGCTTATACACAAACTCAGGGTAGCTAGCTCCCCTCAGTTTGTGTGTGTGTGTGTGTGTGGGGGGGGGGGGGGGGGGGGAGGGTATTGAATGTATAAGTAGCTTTACTGTTATTCCATTGACTGATAACTGTAAGTTACAGTATGCCCTAACCTGTAATAGCAGGTTACCCTTGATGATGTATATAAAGCATCAAGGAGCCTTTTTGTATTAATTGAAAAATCAGAAAAACAGAAAAACAGAATTCTGTTATAGATGAATACTCTCTTCTTCTCATTCTTCTTTTCTAATACTCCAAATAATTTAGGTGAGATAAAAATATAAACAATCACAGCGACCAATTATATTTTGCAAAGTATTATAAGTGACCTCCACTCATTTCTCATTCAACATGTTGAATGTTTTCAACACAAATTAATTCATGTTACATTCAACACATTATTCAACAATTCATTGGAACAATTCAACTATTGAAAAATTTATTGAACACCTTCATTTTTCTATTTTTATACCAAGTCTATAGTGATTGATGTGACAAAACAACTTACAAGTAATAGTTAATATTTTAAGCGAATTGGATTTCCATAATTGTTTTGAGAAATATTTCCAGAAACTAAATAATTACAAAGTAGAAGTGGGTTTAAACATTGATATATAGATGTTGAGGTTA